CGGATCAACCAAAGGATGTCAGAGGTTTTTCTCCAAAATCCCAATCAAATGCCTAACCGAATCCCAACTACATTAGCTGAGCTTCTCATTCCTCGCAAAAGAATCTGATACAAATTATTTTGCGAGGAATGAGAAACTCAGTTAATGTAGTTGGGATTCGGTTAGGCATTTGATTTTAGGAGCTGCGCCATTCATCCCATCCACCGTATTCGAAAAACCTCTGACATCCTTTGGTTGATCCGGGCAATCCTTTGTTTCAATAAAAACCTTCATTTTCACCGCTGAGTAATTCGCTAATGCTAAATTTGAGTAACCTGCTGATCAAGGACGGTGCTGCCGAAAAGCTTCCGCTCTGATGCATACTTTGCGGTGAGAGCAATACACCGTTGAAGAGGCTCCAGCACTGGAAAAATATTTTCTTTTTGAAACGCGAAAGTTCAAGTAGAATCAAAGCGCTTACAAACAGCAGCCGCTACCAGTCGTTCATCTTGGAATTGTAACATCTGATAGAAGAATCCACGACCCTCTTCGCCAATGATACAGCTAGCCGGTACCTAATAAATAAAAAAGCGAATTCAAGCAAATTCAAGTATTGACATATGTTTTGTAGCTATCAAGTGCTGGTGGAACCAGTACCTATTCTAGCAAGTTGTAAAAAAGTGATAAAAATGGTTGATGGAGTGAGCTCTATGTTCCTTCACTCTCACTATATGGGTTCCTATACAGTAGCACTCATACGTCGTCAGCGACTCGCTTTTCAGTCATAACTTTTTTTTGCTACCGTACAAAATCATGCACTTAAAACTTTGCTGAAAGTAGATTAAGCATTTCCCATTGTTCAGCCGCCATATGCTTCAAAGCAACTTTGAATAATCGAATGACGAATGAGATATAAGGGAGAGATGTCTCAGGGGTGATGTTATAAACTAGCTGTTGACCCTAGCTGAGCAAAATCCACTGATTTCCTACAGTACTTACCGGTTTTATCCCGAAAAAGCTCAAATAATCGGGAACACAGGTTAGGTGTACTTGCAAGTACCAAGAGCTTGCCCCTCTCGTTCGTATTTAGATTAAAGAGGTGTCTCTTCGAACTGGTAGGTCAGCAACCTTGTAGTAAAGTGATTTTCGAGGTTCTAACATGATCCCCTGGGAGGTGGGGTTAAGATGACGTTTGGACGCTCTCCCATTAACGACTTTCAATAACGTGACGAAAGCGCCCTGCAGCCACTGCTTTTGAAGAAGGTTTAGAGCACCCTAAAGTGCACCAAATACAAAGAACAAGTACTTTTGTTCCGTCCCGAAGTCTCATGTTGATCTAAATGTGGAATGAACAATGTGAGTCTTCATATATTTATTGCAAAAAAAGCTTTGGATTCTTTCGCTATAATTATTTGAAGTCTCACATTGTTTATTATACATTTAAATAAGGAGCAAGTAGAATAAGAACTTGGCCGTAGACGCGTCCCCGAGCTCCAGTAGCCTTGAAACTTGAACTACTTGATTTTTAGTTCCTTTATCTATCTTTGAACGGTGTGTTTACCCTGACGTTGTCGAAGAAGATTTCAGCCGTGTCGGAACTGTGCATTCCGAGTTTCTTCAGATTCGCCGATCGGTGCACTCCTGAATAATTAGAAGTCGAAATCTGTCAAATTTTGGAGATGCTCTCCTAACATTTGAAGCAACAGTCCCAGCAGGGTTTTTACCTTCGACACTAATGGTGTGGAACGATGCGCTAGCCCTAGTCAAGAACATAAGAAGTGTGACTGAACAAAAAACTCACCTTGGAAAGCCGCTAGAAAGGGAGCTGAACAGCTTCGAAGTGGGCGTGGTTGAATCGGCCGGGATTGCAGCCGATTGGCAACCACGCCCACTTCGAAGCTGTTCAGCTCCCTTTCTAGCGGCTTTCCAAGGTGAGTTTTTTGTTCAGTCACACTTCTTATGTTCTTGACTAGGGCTAGCGCATCGTTCCACACCATTAGTGTCGAAGGTAAAAACCCTGCTGGGACTGTTGCTTTTATGGTTCTTCTCTTCATTTGAATATTATTTCGTTCAAACAAATTACTTCTAAGCGAGTAAACGACAAATTTGTAAATTTTTTGTTCGCCAGTGATAGGGTACGGGTCGAGAACAATTGAGTGATAAGAGGCTTCACCAACCAAAGGAAAGCGCCGCGCACTCCTTACGTTTCCTCAATGGCTAGCCACGAATTAGTCTATTGAGTCGTCACCGTCTAACCTAATCGTGATTCACATCTTTTAACACCAGAACAAAGTGTTGCTTGAGAGATGGCATAGTTTATTCAGTAGAAAAACATTTGACAAGCTTAAGGATTGACAAAAAAGCGCCAGCGAAAAAACAGGGAAGCGCCTGTACTTGATTGAGATACGCGCTGAGCAATTCTGTTCCTGGTGACATAAAGGTGTAATTGTGGCCCACACACTTCGCGCGCGATAAAAAGCGAACTAAAGTTATGCACGTCTGAAAACATAATACCTGGTTCATTCAGCCTCACACAAACGAGGCTTTTGTTCTGATGAGGTGACGGATTGTTGTTCGTGTTGACGAGAACACAAGCCCAATCGGCCTGAGAAGACCTGGGTGGAACACCAATTTTCGATCATAATAAGAAGCAGAACACACCTGTTCCCCGCTTGTTATCCACATTTTGTGCCCATTGATGATCAGATCGGAACCACTTCGAACAGCCCTGGTTCGAATCGCTGGAGGAATGAATTTTCCAGGGAAGCAAAATCTTCAACGTTGACAGTACCTGCCACATCGCTTCCTGCTTCCGGCTCGCTGACGGCAATACAGGAAACAAGATCGCCAGCTATAGATGGTGCGAGAAACTCTTCTCTCAAGGAATCGGAGCCGAACTCAGCCAAGGCGGGTGTGGCCATATTCGTCTGAATGTGCCAAGCGTGCACATTGGGAAGCAGGATAAATGAAATTACGGTACCTGCACACAAACGGCCATCGGGATCGCAGCACAGTCGATGCTCCCTAATTCCTCTGCGACTGCGATTGAATAGGAAAAATCCAGACCGAGTCCACCGAAGGCTGTAAGGAGTATTGTCACAAGTCAGTTGTAAGGTGGACGCAAGCTAAGCTTACCTTCAGGCTTATTTACTGCTAAAACACCAAGATTGCCGAGTTGCTTGAATACAGCGTGTGCCGGAAATCGACCAGCATCTTCCCACTTTTGGACGTGAGGATTGATGGAGCGATCAATCAACTAAAAGGAACTGAGTCTTACAAGCGAAGGTCAACAGGCTAACGCAGCCAATTAAAATGATGTGTGAACCAGTACACTCGCTCCGAAATGCTGAGAATGAGCTCAGAACTGCTGAGCTCCATACCTCCTGAACGATTAAAGGATGCGAGTTGTGTGCCTTTCTTGCTTGCGTTCTCCCGCATACTACTTCTTGTGGAGAACGCCCAAAGCCATCGCAAGCTTTTCAAATAGACGTCTGTGTGCAACCAAATGAGGCAGAGATGCTCCTAACCCTGTTGCTGAGGCAAAAGTACACTGCCAGGTGTTGATCCGACGACCTGCTGCCTGTGATCTAGGGCTACTACCGCTGCGCTCTCCGTTTTATAACTTTGTTCAAGTATTCTATAGCGGATGTGACATGCGATTCTGAGCCTAGCGTCTCAAAGCCAGCGCAAAATTAGACCCCATTTCAACCGATATGGTTGACCTGTTGAGTTTCCCTTGCCAGCAGCTTCCTGAGCATGATCTGGCAACGGATCCTATCGGGAAAGTTAACAAGAAAAGTTTTAGATGTGAAGAAGTCTGTGGGTGACCCATTCTCGGGTGCAGTAGAATCGAATTGAGCATAGAGCTCCAAAATAACATTTTCGATTCCAAATATTCGAAATGTGTAATTACTTTCATCATAATTCCACCCACCTTGCGCAGCTCTCTTCTGATGGCCATATGCTTTTCTGTGTACAGCATATGATGTTTAGTCGGCAGAGCACGGCTGCCGATCTTCAAGGCTGCGTTCGACATCGCTGCCGTTGATGCGAACTCTCAGGGAGCCTGGAACTCCGTCCAAATTTGAACAGAAGAGCACGGTTTTTTTTTCAAAAAAGAAACAACACGTGCACATCCTCACGGTTTTTTTCACACAAAGAAATCACGTAGGTGGTACCATCACAAACGAACACAAGAACAGAAACAGTCCCATCATAAAGATTCCGAACTCTGAACAAGGCAACGTGGGACGTGCCCACTGGAAGCAAGAGGTCCAGGACCAAGCAAAGTTCGAGCACATCGTTAACTTCACTTACCATCAATATGATGCTTCCATGGCTCGGAACTGTAAAGCGCGGAACTAAGCGCTCCTTCCCACAGTGATGCATTATGAGGTGTGAGCTTACGGTGTTACGGGTGAAAAACGAGCTTAAATTCCTCAAACTTCGCGATCTCTAAGCCTGAACATTGAAAGTGTTCATGCTATGAGAATTGAGACGTTTGGAGCACACTGTTTACCACTTAGAACACTTAATAAGTAGTCCCAGTTAATACGTTTTTCAAACACCCTTCACGTAGTAAATAAGAACTACTTGAATAAATTACGAAGAATGTGCAGAATTCTTCTCACAAGATAGAAAAAAAACCCATCCCTCGTCTTGATCAAATACACTGCGTGAACTGTCCCCTCATCAAATTTTACGCGAGACAAATGACAAGAATCTGCCTCATACATACAATTGGAATACAGAGTTTCGAAGACATGGTCTCTCAAGAGCGGCTGGCAGCTGTTGCTCCACAAATGGTTTCTGAACTGGTCTTCCATCGTACCGGACGAGTTTGTTAATTCGTTTGTTTACGAAGGAAGCAAGAAGAGGGAGTGAATGAATCAACTAAAGCTAATAGGTTTCTGGCAAGCTGTCTGAGAATCTTGTTGCTTAAAGGCATGCCCCAGGATCACATTGGTGTGGCTCTTGCACACGAATGCGAATGTATTGGTGCGAAGTGGGCCGGCAGTAAAGAAAAAAGGAAAAGAATCCGTCAAAAACGCTTAGGTTAAGGGCTCACTCACCTTCCTAATCGGCTGTGCTAAGGGAATGAGAGACTAAGCGCGGAGAGGAGAGTATGAGGCGAGAGAGCGCTACAGATGAGAGAGCGCCAGACAACAGCCTGATGAGAAAAAAGTCTGCAGCTTGCAGCTTACTTTGCAAGGCCCAAGCGCTCTTGTCGGTTGGTTTCCGCAC